TTAAATAATTTCTCTTATTTTATAATATTTTGATAATAATTGTTAATTAATTTTAAAAAATACACGATATTTATTAATAATATTTTACGTATATAATATTGTATTTTTTTATTATTAATAATAAATTTTTCACTGGACATTTTTTTCTTCATCTTTTTTCTTCTTAAATAATAATTTTTCAAAAATTGTCGATTAGAATATAGAACATTAAGGGAATTTCACATTGATATCTCCGATTTAAGGTAGACTTGGCAACTGTAGGGACTCACGTATCGATCCGAATTCGTAGATAGAACGTAGTATTGTAGAATAAGCTTATTATATCTTTCTTTCGCCTTGTTCTTTAATACGGTAGAAGAATAGACTGGAATAGGTGAATAGAGATATCGATTACACTCGATCGCATCTCTTACACACTTGAGCCAAGACTTCGACGTGTCCTGATTTTTACTCTCCGTTCGAATATCCTTTCAAAGGAATCAAGATTGTCTCTATGGAAAGAATTCAATATACACATGATATAACGAAATATTAATATCTTAAAAAATAAGTCCCGAAAAATTATTTTTCTATTATTCATAAATCAATTTGATTGTAATTCGTTTTCATTGTTTGTATGAAAAAAAAAAAAAAATAAATAAATAAATTATTATCATTAATTAGTTTCAATCATTCATTCATCGTTAATTAGTTTATAATTATCATAATAATGATATACTTTAATATATTGTTAATAAAAATCAAATATTTCTTAATTAACAATTATATATAAATTTAGATAAATTTTAAAATAAATTATCATATTACATATACCTATATATATTTATGTGGATATATAATATATATATTATATATTATATATTATATATTATATATGTATGTACTTTACATTTATATATGGAGTATGTACAGTAATAATTGTTATGGATATATATATATATATATATATATATATATATATATACATACACACATTAGTTATAAATAAATAAATATATATATATAGATTTTTTATTAGCGTTATTAATTAATTATCAAGCAAATAATTAAAATTCTTTAATAATTAATGAAATAAAAAATTACAAGTTTTTAAAATTATCATCATTTTTTTACTACTCTTATCTATATATATATATACATTTACATATATTACACAGTTAACGTTCGAATGATTTTGTATAAATTTGTTGGTGGTTTTAAAATCAGTTGAAAAATCGAAGGGACCATTGGATTTTCTCCCATAAAACGGCCCCCAGGGAAGAAACAGAGTGGAGATCGGTGCTTGCACGAAGGGTGAAATCCGTTTCTCGGATTTTACGACGGTCCGCTTGAGAAATCCTTCTTTTTACTTTCTTTTCCCTTTTCTTTTCTCTCTCTCTCTCTCTCTCTCTCTCTCTCTCTCTCTCTCTCTCTCTCTCTCTCTCTCTCTCTCTCTCTCTCCCTCTCTCAGTCTTGCTTTTAGACATTTGACGGAACTTGGAATATAAACGACTCCAACCCCCTCATCGAGACGTCAACTTTAACGATGAATGGACGGGGGGAGATAGGGGGAAAGGGATGAAAGTGGGAGGGGGTTAGATGATAGATCGACTTTTTTCAACGGGCTCTTCTCTCTGCACGGGGATCTAAATATATGGATTCGTATAATGATAAATTGGATCAATTGTCATCGTCAATGTCGTCGGAATTATTTATTTATTTATTTATTTATTTATTTGTTTACACGAAATTATAAAACAAATGTATGATACTAGGTAAAAGAATAGAAACGAAGATAATTAAACGAAAGAAACGAAATTGTCTCGTCGATTAACAATAAGATCGTGTGATCGTTTTGAAATATTAATCAATTTGATCCTCTTGATAGATCTTTGAGAAGTACCAAGAAAATGTTATTTAAAAGAAAAAAAAAAAAAAAAAAAAAAAAAAAGAAAGAAAGAAAAAAAGTAATAATCTCATTAATTGAAACAATGAGATCGTAATAATTACGTTAAAAGGAATGAAATTGGATCGCTTTGATCGTACCGAGAGAAAATTCTTAACATCGTTATTTATCTAAATGATGATAAATAAATAAATAAGTATCATTAATACAAAATAAAACAATATTTTTCATCGATCAATAATCGGATCATGATCATTAGTAAAACATCAAATTTGATCATAGTTAGGTCATCGAAAAAAAAAGAATCATATAAACGGTTGTTTAAGTCAACAACGTTATAGTCCAAAATAATAATGAAACAAAGAAAAAGAAAAATAAATAAATAAAAACTCATCTCATTAATTAGAACATTAATAAAGATAATAATCGCATTTAATATATATTAATGAAATAATATATCGTTATATGATCGTTGAGAAACTCATCATTTAATTACTCATAATTTGACAATGCGGTCAAATAAAAGAATTATTTATATTTATTTTGTTCTAACGAATAAATTTTTTCCTCTTTCTCTCTTTCTTCTACTTTTTTATATTTTTTCATTTTTTTTTTCTTTTTTTTGCTTTATTATTATTATCTTTCAGGTCGACTTCGGTGATATTTTCATTCCATTGGATTTAGACGTACCAAAGCCTCGAGTTTTGCCTGAATTTTCAAGACTGGCCCATGGTCTTCGTAGCGGTAATATCAGCATCCTTGATAGCAAAACCATCTACATTCCCAATTTGCATTATGACGGTGCTGGTCCAGATGCCTATTTTTGGGTTGGAAATGGCTCCGAGCCACATATTTTGGGCGTTAAAGTACCCAACGAAGTAGGAAGGTTAGTAATAATAATACAATTATTGATAATCATTTATCAATTTTTGTAAAGTTAATTTTTGTAAAATTATTTTTTTTTAAATTAATTAATTATTTTTAAATTAATTTTTGTAAAATTAATTTTATGAAACAGAGATTTTTATAAATTTAATCATTTAATAATAATATTAAATTTTTTTCATATAAATACATATATATATATATCTTTTTTTGCAATATGGAAAACACAATAATCATTCTGTTTTAGAAAAAAATTTTTAAATAAAACTAATAAATGTTATATATGTAATTAACAAATTATTAAATCCGATAATATGTATATACGTATGAATATATTGTTATAAAACAAATAATTTGTTATAAAAGATAATGTACAAAAAATAATTTGTTAATTATATAGAATAGAATTTTAATTAATTGATAGATTACTAATAAATATTATTATTAAAATTTTTATTAATTATAATTATTAAAATAAATATTTTATTATAGTATTATAAAAAGAAATAATAATAAATTACAATTATTAAATGTTATAACATTAATTTATATACGTATATCATATATAATAAAAAAGAGATTTTTATAAATCTAATCATTTCATAATATTCTTGCTTTAAAAAAAACCTTATAAAAAACTAATAAATCTTACATAATTAACAAATTATTAAATTTGATAATATATATAAATATATATACATATTTATATATATATATATATATATATATATATATAATAAATAATTTGTTATAAAAAAAAATTTTAATGAATTGATATATTAGTAGTAGATTATATTATTAAAATATAATCAATCATATTTTGTTATGATATTATAAAAAAAAAAACAAATAATAATAATAATAATAAATTATAATTATTAAACGTCATAATATTAATTTTAATTAAAACATTATAACATACAATGATGTACAATCAATTTCAAATATTATCCTTTACAATAATAGTTTGGAACCTTTAAGAGGATATCAAGGGGAAGACATAGAGATTGTTCTCCCAGATAATTTGACCGCCCATGATATCGACTGGTTAGCTGTATGGTGTGTCCAATACAAGCAAAACTTTGGACATGTTCTAATACCAAAGGATCTCGACATACCTCCTGCTCTTGGCCAAACGAAAATCACGGTAAATCGAGTTGTTAAGAGACTTATAAATGTAGATTATTTACCTTTACCTTACCATTTCTCTCTAGTTCCTTTAATTAATATCACACGTGCATTTGCAATCAAACATGGAATAGCCGCACTGGTGGTACAAACCGGTACGTGTAATATGTCATCATTTAATATAGAAAATATTTACGTACATACATACAAACATACATACATACATACATACATACATACATATATATATATATATTTTTCTTTTTCTTTTTTTTTTTACGTCCATCGTTCGTTGTCTTATTTCTTCTTTTTCTTCTTTTTTTTTTTTGCCTATTCAAAATTGCCACTCATCGTTCATTTTATATTTAGTTTAGATTATACAAGAGATAATTATCATTCGTTCGTTGCTCCTTTTTCCAATTAATTTAATAATATAATTATAATCGTTAATTATATCCTAATTTATTTTTAATATCAAATGCCAACGAGATAATATAGATTAATTAATTTGAATTTGTAATTAATTGTTTAGACGAGCAGTACGTCCGAACCGGCTACGTCCAAACAAGGATTAAGCAATTGCAAGGAGTTGCTCGAAGGACGTGTACAGGTGCAATGGGAGTTGATTGGTGACGACGTGCAGATTCAAGTTTCAGGTCGTATCAAGGAGGACCAATATGTAGCGTTCGGTCTATCCGGTGAACAGGATAAGCCTGAAATGCTCGGTGGCGATGTCGTTGTTGTAGCTTACAACAAGAAGACAGGGAAATTTATTGCCGAGGATTATTACATGTCCGATATTTCTCAATGCGATGGGAAAAAGGGTGTATGTCCTGACGAAAGAGTTGGTGGTAAAAACGATGCTATCTTTTTGCACGGTGAAAGAAGGAACGGCATAACAACAGGTATACATATATATATATATAAATAATTAAAGTTCAATAATTAAATTCAAATAATTATTTAAATGTTACGAATTAATAAACAATAAAAAATATTAATTAACAAACAATATGCAATATTAATTAATACTCAATAAACAATATCATAATTAAAAGTAATAGATAAAAATAGAAGTATATATAGAAATAATTATAATTAAAATTAATAAACAATATTATTATCAGAGGTTTTATACAATTTTATTATTTATAATAATTATATTAGTTTCATGAATATGAAGACGCAATTATAGACTTTCTATCATTAACAATAAATTTAAATTATCACGTGTTCAATGTTCTTCATATATTATAAATATGTTCAATATTATTCATATAATATTGAACATGTATAATATCATTCATATAATATTCAACATGTTCAATATTGTTCATATAATATCAAACAAATTTTATATTATTCATATACAATAATACCATTTAATTTTGTTTAGTTTATGATAAACATATTGAATTAAATTTACAATTAATCGATATCAATGAGAATAATTTGGCCAATTAATATAAAAATATATAAATGATTATAATTGTCAATATACGTAATATATACGTAATTTTTATTATTACAGTAACTTATATGCGACCCTTACGCACGAACGAACCTGAAAAAGACAGAATGATTCCTGAATCCGAGACCAGCGTAATTGCTGCTATTGGTCCTCTCAATTCAAGGGGAGAAGCCAATGCTCATCAAGCTTTCGACGTGACTACCGAGGATATACGTATCGACTTTACGTCGAAAAATGTCCACGAGTGTACTAATTCCCTATACAACATCCCCGACATGTCTGACATTGAACCCTGGCCACAAGCCGTGATCGACAATGAAGATACCTTCAGTGCTAGGATTGGACCAACCGGTGGAATGAGAGGATATTCGCGTATAACGGGTAAACCAAAAAAATTTTTCTCGATATTTGCCTTGTTACAAAGAAATAAATCCTCTTTGAGTTTAAATGATTTTTTTCGTCTCCCAAATTTTTCTTTTTTGTTATTTCTTCATCATCTATTTTTTCTACTTTTTCTTTTTATCCTTCTTCTTCTTCTTCTTCGTCTTCTTCTTTTTCTTCAAGTATAAACGATATAATGTATGTTTGATTTAAAAAAGATACATATAATATATTATACAAAATATTCATTTAAATATATATAGGAAATTTTCTTTTTTAATATAACAACATTTTCTTCAGAATTATATATTATAATTAAAAATCGTAATTGTACAAAAGTTTATTATTATTATAATATTCATATATTATATTCATATACATATGTATTTATATGTGATATGGGTATATTCATGATTTTTTTTATTCTTGTTATATTTTGTTATATTGTTTATATTTTTTTATTCTTGTTATATTATTTAAAATAAATAATATAATATCATATATATATAAACAACATAATATTGTTTGTACAGTATATAACAAAGTACTAATATATATATAAAAAATATTTATATTTATTCCATATTAATAATAATTAAAAAAAAATGTATAAATATATATATATCATCAATGAAATTAATTAAATGGTAAACATATTTTACTCGAAATATAAGATATAGATGACATTACGTAATATATTTTAAATCAAAAAACTATAAAAAAAAAATTACACATATACATATGTATACATAAATTTTTTAAACAGGTCAACCTTCGTGGGGTATCGCGTGGTATATCAATGATCTATTAATACCAAAGATCACTGTTGAAAGAGGAAAAGCCTACACATTTATCGTAGAAGGTGGTAATGATCCTACTAATCCGGCCAGGTAAAAAATAAAACAAAACAAAAAAAACAGACATAAAAACATGAGAAATAAAAATACGAGAAAAAGAAAAAAATGTAATAGGGAGAAAAATTTTACGATTTTAATTTAAACCTTTTTTACGACAGATATCATCCATTTTACATAACCGACAGTCCTGAAGGTGGTTTTGGACAAAAAACTGAACCTCAACAAAGACAACAAAAAGTGTTTGCTGGTGTTGCATATGATAATGATGGATATCCTTATCCAACTGCAGCTGGTCGTTATTGTGAATGGGTTCATAAGACGATAGACAAAAGTAAAGAATCGGAAACGTTCAAAATCTTTTTCCAAACATTAAGACTGGAATGTGATGAGGGTGATCCTGCTAAACTCGAATGGATCGTACCAGCAGATGCACCAGATCTATTATATTATCAGGTATGATTTATATATATATAGTCGAAATTTTTTTTGTAAAATACTATAATATATTATATTACTAATTATATATTATATATATATATATAATATTATATATATATATATAATATAATATATAATTAATATAGAAGATCATTATATATTTCTAAATAATTATAAAAATATCCTAAGTTATAATTTCTTTTTTTTGCTAAATCAGCTTCATGTTTCAGCAAATAAGTTTTTCATTTGGATCCCTTTAATAACAATTACATTTAAAAATTGTAATTCGACAAAATATTTTCGTAGACAGAAAAAAAGAAGAGAAAAAAAAAAGAATTGCATTTATCAATAATCATAAAAATTCCACCCTAAATTGTATAATTTCGCTTTTTTCTTTTTTTTTTTTTCTTTTTTGGTTTCCAATAATTTAATATTACAAAAATCTTTTCCATTCTTATACAGTACTTTAAATAAGACTTTATACAGTATTATAATAATTAAAAATTTGTATATAATTATATACACAAAAAAAAATAGAAAAAAAATTTGTATGAATTATAAATTATAGGATCACATATAAAAAAAAAAAAAAGAAAAAAAAAGACAAAAGGAAGAATTTAAAAAAGGAAAAAAAATGTTATTTAATAACGAACACTAATTTTAATCGCAAAACATATTCGTTCGTTCATATCTTTTTTTGCTTTTTGCTTTTTTCAGTGTTACACGCACAACAATCTCGGTTGGAAGATAAACGTAATCAACCCCGGTGATAGACCTCAAATAAATGGAAGTGGCTTGAAGAAACATGCTTCGATATCGACAATAATAATCGCCTTTATCGTCGCCGTCGCATTTGCGTTCTTAAGATGAATCAAAAACGAATCAATTCGCCGTTCCTTATATATTTTCTTTAAGGCGTTATTGCTCTCGTGGTAATAAGAATAATAATAAGAGAAAGAAAAAGAAAAATATAGGAAAAATTCATCGGAATTAATAATGAATAATAACAATAAAGCAAATAAAAAGAGAGATAGAGAGAGAGAGAGAAAAGAAGCACGAGAGAAAAATTGTAAAACAAATAAACAAACAAACAAGCAAACAAAACAAAAAAAGAAACACGATACAAGGTTGTAAGAAAGTATTTAGCATGTAAGAGATTTCATTGTATACAAAACAGATTAGAGAAGTATTTTTAAGACCTATCAGATTCAATATTTCGTATTATACGATATACATACATATGTGTATATATACATATATACATACATATATATATATATATATATATATATATATATATACATTCAAGACAATATCAACATATATATATATATATATATACATATAAAAATATAAAGAAACGAAGATGAAAGAGGAAGAAAATTCTGACAATAAGATCGATCCTGAGAATATTAGAAAATATTGACAATAATAAATAAATGACGCGACGGACAATAATACAGTCGTTGATAATATCTGGACAATAATAATAACGAAAGAAAACATTCCTTTCGTATGGAAGTATCGTTGATGGCTCTTTAACAGAAAAAAAATATATATACATACATACGTACATATACATACACACAATCAAACATATATACACACACGATACTTCAAATAATGCATACATGAGTATCCATCATGTATGACTGACCGATATTACGTATTGATATACATAAATACTATATACATAAATAATAACTGATCATATAGAGATAAACGCGATCGGGTTGTTAACTGGAGTGATCGGTCATATATAAATAAATAAATAAATAAATAAATAAATACGTATATACATACATGCATACATACTTACCATACAAACATACATAAACACACACACACACACAAACACATATCTCTGTACAATGTAAATTTTGCACAAAGCTATATAGTTGGATTTAACGTAAATATACATCATTATCATTATCATCGATTTAACTCGTAGTAGCGTTTAAGAAATATACATTTATAAATGCTGTCGACTTGACAATAATTCGTAGGATAGCCAATCGAGACGAGATCGGATTTAAATAAGAAATGAAGGTGGATGAGAATTGCACAAGAAAATAATGAAAATAATGAACTTTAAAATAAGGAACTATTTTTACTTTTTTATTACATATTTTTTTTTTTTATTTTTCTCTTTTAATTTCTATTTTCTTCGCGGGAGGGCAGGTGGGAGGGGAAACGCGGGAGCTGGGGTAAGTCTAATTAAAAAACTTAACTCCCACTTAACGTATAATATACTATAACGTATAGACAGGATATAATATAAATATATACATATATATACATACATATATATATATATATATATATATATATATATATATATGTATATAGACATAAAAAAAAACTATGGAGCGGACCTTCCTACAACGGAATGAAAGTATAAAATGTGCCTTGGGTGCAGATAATAATAACAAAAAGAGAAAAACAAAAAACAAAAAAAAAAATAACAAACAATGAAAGAAACAGAAAGCAAGAAGAAAGAAAGAAAAAAAAATTTATGCTTATTCATTTGAATTAGGATTCACTCGGACAGGAGATACCCTGCAGTACTTAGGAACTGGTTTCTTGTGTACGTGAGAAAAGCAAGAGCACGCGTTTAAATTATACCGTCTTTCTATTATAATATATTATAAAAAAAAAAAAAAAAAGTGGTTTACCTGCGGTGAGGTCAATAAATATATAAATAAATAAAGAAAGAAAGAAAGAAAGAAAAGAAGAAAGAAAGGAAGAAATGAAAAAATTACAAAAATGCGCACAACGAGTATG